GGCGGCTGCTCCATCGGCGGCTTGCCCGGCTGCCTGCCGAGAGCGTTGCCCTGCGCCGCCGCCACTCTCCCCCCGTCGTGGCCCTGGGAGGCGCCTGCCGTGGGCCGCTCCTGCGCCCCCTGAACACCCGCGTCCGACGTCGCTGCGGTCCCCGGCTTCGACGGCAAAAATGTGCGGACGGTTACGTTCACCTGCTTACACGTCCCAGCACCCTTGGCCCCTCCCACCACCCAAGGGCAGGGGGAATGCACCACGGTGTGGTTCGTCTCATTACGCGGCGGAAACGCCTTCTCCAAAGCCGTAGCGCCGCCTCCGCCACTCGTCACACCACTTGGCGCATGTCCCTCCACCGCCATCGCGCCGGCGGCAGCGCAGCACAGCGCGCAGAGGGCGCACACCAACAGCGCACGGCCAGCCATCGCAACCCCTTTCTCACCGCAGCACAACACACACGCACAGGGTCTGGCGAGGGGCAGGTAGCAAAGTAAGAGGATAGGTTCTTTTATTTTGTTGCACTCAAGCTAAAGACGTCATACCCGCCTTTTTAAGCATGCGTTAGCGAGGAAGAGACTTGTCTTGGGTTGATGGATTTTGAGTGGTTTCGTAAAATTATGTCCCATAACGCGTCTGGCCGTGAAGCGTTTTTTTTGTTTTCATGCACTTTGGTCTAGCTATGATCTTCGTTTGGTTTGTGTTTTGTTGCTTACGTGTGTGTCAGAATGGACGTCATTATTTTTTTTTACATTCTTGCTACGCATTTTTACGCTGTTGTGCTTATTTTTGTAGATCCCAATCGCGTGTATTGGAGCTGGTGCAGCGGAAATAAAATGCGCAATGCTTAAGTATTAGTTCCAATGGCGTGTTTTTTTGTCGCCTTTGTACTCTTATGTTTTTTTTCTAAGTTGTACCTGCTTCTGCAGTTTCATGACAAATCCTTTTCCTTTGCAGGAAGTGTTCCTTTTTTTTTTACACTAACAGCCCAACTTGTCACGCACCGCACCCCAGTACTTTTGCGGCTCCGTACCATAGACATTATTATAGTTGCCGTGTCGACGTGTAACCGCGTCGGTTGACTACGTCACGGCACCACCATTCTTACGGCCTCCCCGTACGAGAAGCGATGCTCAGCGCAGGGAGGGACAATCCGTATCGATTTATAGCTGAACTCAACGGCGTCGGGTTTTCATCTAGGTGCCGATAATAAAAATGTCTTCTGTTGAAAACACAACGCCGAGGTAAAGTAAATGGGACGGAAGAACGCTATATTTTTGCCGTAGAATATATAAAAGGGGGTGAGCAAAAGCAACGTATGTAAATAAAAAGCATATTGCTTTAATTTAAGCGTTAACGATGTCTAATATGGCTAGTGTATTTGGTGCTAGATAAGGCCTGTGTGCCCACTGCGCCTTTGTACTTGGCCTTGACGTTATCCCGCTGCCGGAATGGAAACACACCCAGGCAGCAAAAACAGGAGCATTTCCCCGTACGAAATACAGAATCACCCCTCGGGCTTCCACGCCTTGCCCGGTGTGGGGAGGAGAAGCGCTCCGCTTGTAGACTGACCGGTAAAACTGCATGGCCGATTCGTTTATAAACAAAATAAAAAAAACGAATCAATCTTGACTTCTCTCTCTTGGCAGACAGATCGTATTTTTCATCATGAGCTTCTCCTCGCTCTATCACTGACCCTAAAATATTTAAAAAATGCGTCTACCTCTCTTACTTTCATCAAAAGCGTAGTCTGCAGCTTCCTCGCCCACCCAATATTCGCAGAAAGACGCCCATTAAAAAGCCACAGCGATCGCTCCCGTTAAGGAAACGAGCCTCCGCACGCCCACTGCCCGGAAATGATGGTCGCCCCATCGCGGCGCCGGGGGTCTCGTGTCCAGCGTTGCCGGGGGAAGCCGGGGGCCGGCGGCGCGTCCCTCGCGGCGTCGTTGTTGGCACGCGGCGTTGACTAGCCCCTCCTTGCTGGGGCACGGCGCTGCGCCAGGAAGTCTGGGGACCCATGCTGCTGCGCGGTCTTCCGTGCCGCCCGCGCCGCGCGGCTGCGGAATGGCAGCGCGGAGGGGAGTTCCGGCTCCTGTTTGCGGTGGCCGCGGTGGAATGCGGCGGGGCTCCCTCAGACGAGGCGTTTCGTGGTATGCAAGATGCCGTGCGAGGAGGACGCTTTCTTCTGCGTGAGGTGAAGTTTCTTCCCCTCTCAAGCAAGCAGCTTTAGCTTGAAAGGGTCTTGGGCGCTGCAGGGTTGCCCGCGCCTGTCGAGCTAACGAGGCGTCCATTCTCGTCTGTGATGGGCTGCGGGGAAGGCAAGAACGGCCCTCGCCACAGGCGTAGAGCTGTCGCGTGTGGCCGCCCTCCCAGTGGCAGAAGTGAGGCGGACGGCTGCATTGGCATATATCCTCCCCTCTTGCCGCGGTGCCGAGCATCGCTGCCGTGCATTTGGGTAAGCTGCTCGGCGCCGATG